AGAGGGTATCAGATTTACTGTAGTGACAGACAGCTGTGGAGTGCCTTTTGGGAACCTGACTCCTCTACAGAAGCATCAGGAGTTCTTAATTCTTGAGTCATCTGTCCATCCGACAACTGTACGTTTTAGTATGATGTTTATTCTCCCTCATATGCCCTTCCTCCCTTAATGTTTCCTTCTTTCCCAGTATGGAAATTGAACCCTGAGTCTGGCACATTATATGTGCCATTAAGTTTTATTCTCAGTCGTGTAATATTTCAACCCAATTCTTATATCATACACTGATGTTGATCTTGTACATCATGAAGTTTATTCAGGGTTTATTTAGAAGCTATCATTTCTCTCTCTCAGATTATCATTACAGTGCCCTAAATGTTTTCTCTTTCCTCTTTAACTTTCTGTTTATCTAACACTCAGCCAGAACCACGTTTTGGAAAGTGTATCATGACACATTATTCACTGTTCTCAATTTTCCAGTGGTTTCTCATCCTACATAAAACAGAGTTCACACCAAGGGTCACCCAGTCCCAGATCTGATCCTGCTGGCCTCTCTGACCTCAAACATTTTCTGCTGAGTACTGAGTACATCTCTCTGAGTGTCTTAGTGCATGCTCAGCACAAATACAGACCAGTATCTAAGCATTTAATCTGTGTAACATGACTGTGTACAAGGGCAGACTTTGCAAGTACCATATTGGTTTGGTTGTTAGCATGCTTTTCTGCCAAGGCCCATCAGCATTCTGTTACTTGTGTATTTATTACAAGGAGTACCTGATTTTCCTTATTGTATGTTACAAAGTGTCACATACAAAACCTCGACACTTCAGGAGGTAGGATTATTAATCATTCCATCACCTAAGAGCAACAATTTTGGTGTGCACACTATAGTTTCAATATGGTCTGAGACCTCTAAAACTCATGTTGGAATTTATTCCCATTGTGAGATACTCAGAGGGTAAAAATTTAACAAAGCTACTATGTTTTATTATTAGCTTTTATTTTTAAATTATATTTAAATAACATTTTTCATTTATTTTATATATGGACTATAGTTTTCTCTCCCTCCTCTCCTACCAATCCTCCCTCCCCCAGTGGGAACTTTATGAGGTGATTTGGACTACATTAAATTCTAGAACAGAACCCTCTGATAGAATCCTGGAGTTTGAAAAGAAGGGGAGAAAACAGATAAAATAAACATACATTTTTTTTTTACTGCCAAGAATGTCTGCAGCACTTTAAGACTCTGCCATCATTAGACACAATCCTCAACCTTGAATCTCCAGAACAATGGGCCCAAATAAACCTGTTTTGCTCAGATTTGTCTGGTTTGTGGGATTGTGCTGTTAGCAACAGCAAATGAATAGCAGGATATCACCTGCCTCAATAATGTGCCTTGTGTTAGACCATTGTGAAAGATGATGCATCTGAATTGACAATACCACATCTCTTCATCCCTTTCATTTGGGCTGCACAGTCGCATCGGTAAGGGGATGGACTGTGTAATTGAATCTGCTTTTTGTCAACATGAACTGATTCTTGGAGATCATTACTTTATCTTTTGTTCTCATAATGATACATATTTGACTCTTTGGCTATAATTTGTTCAAGGGTTGTTCACAAGCCTCTGAATTTCATTCCCCATTCTTACCTACTCTTTTTTGGAAATGAGATAAAGGCATATCTTCCTTTCAATGGGCTATCAAAGACTATTCAGGAACCCTGAGTAACATCTGCATGCTATTTGAAAGCTTGGGATCTCAGACCTGAAATTCTTTAAAGCTACTAAACATTGCTTTTCAAATCTTTACCTTTCTTGGCAACTGTCTTACTCTAATTCACTTACTCAGTTTTCATCTTGTACAGTACTTTGTACTTTTTGATGAGGATACATTTTTGCACATAGGACTTCATAGTTAAATGGGACGGACAGAAATACAGGACGTTTCAATGCCCTAAGATCCTCATGGGTGTTGCCGATACTACCAGGTGCAGTGGGTTTGAATTTTAGAAAGACCCTTCTGGCCACAGTGGAGAATGGGGGTTCTCACACCAGAATGTGTATCAGTCACTTGGGAATTCATCTAAAGGGCAATTCTGACTTAGTTGTCTGCCAAAGGAACTTGGGATCTGCTCAAGTTCCCAAGTCATATGGATGCCACTAGTCTATGCAAGACACCTTGAGAGCAAGGCTTCACATAGTTCACAGGGGACAAGAAAGTCAGAGCCAGAGTGTTGATTCAAAAGGTTTGGTTGGACTTTCAAAGGGAAGTGATGCTTGTACAAACCATAGGAAATCTGCTTCTTTCTTCAAAGCTCATAGTTTGATCTTCTTCATGAAAAGTAATTATATTAAGTAGGTGTTTAAAATTTTAATATAATAACATCAAAACAATTTGAATTTAATAAAGAGGAATGGAGATGTCTGTTGCAATCTTAATTATACCAGCTGCCCTCTGTTGTCTTATTTGTGGCACAGATGTCTGGTTAATATGGCTTAAATTGTGTTGCCACCAAGATTACTATGTTTAAGTCCCAAACCTTATACCTCAGAATATGGTTTCATTTGAAAATCAGTTTATTGTAGATCGAATGAGGTGTGTGTGTGTGTGTGTGTGTGTGTGTGTGTGTGTGTGTGTGTGTGTGAATATAGTGGACCCATAGCCCAGTTGATTGGCATCCTTATAAAATGGGGATTAGAGGTACAGCTATGGAAAAGCCACATAGCGCTGAATGCCAAATGATAAGCATGAGTGCACAGGACACATGAAAAGCTTTTTCTGGCACTTCTAGAGGGAGCTCATCTGGATGCTTACCTAGGCGTTAGATCTCTAGTGCCACTACTATGAAAAAATCTGTGGTTCTTGTCACATTTAAAGAGTAATGACTTGACCTTCAAGTTTGACTTGATGCTTCATCTTCAACAATGTCCTATAGGAAATACCAACTACATGTACTTCCACTTCTTTTCATTATTCTTTTGTGATTTTCTTTAATTCAGATTTTCCTTTGATGACCCCTCCTTTGCTTTTTTTAGTTAAGCTTCTTAAACATATTTTTTACTAATTGGATCAACTTAAAGACACACCTTTTTCAGGTTCTGCAACCCTGAGTTAAGGCATTTTGGGACTTGGGGCACATGATGGTTGTCGGTCTGCTTTACTCAGCAACAAGCAGGCTTTTGACAACTCTTTACTTTTGAACTGCAGAAGATGATATTAGCAAAGCATGCTAATTTCCTTGTAGCATTCTAGCAACAACAGAACTAAGGTAACAGAAAACCTACCTTAATATAAAATGCTACCACTGTCCTAGTGTCTCAGGAGAAAGAGCCATGGCTTTTACTTCACAATTTACTTAATGTACCCTTTACTCCTTTATTATTTAAAGTAAGCAAGGGTTTCTCCTACTTTCCTTTTAGAAACAAGTGATATTTTACATCCTTAAAATAACAGGATTTGGATGGAATGAGGTTAATCAGCCTTAGGAAGAAGAACTAGAAGTGTAGTGAGGTTTTCTTCCTGGTAGATGTGGGGCTCAGTGCCTAATTCTCTTTACTTTTTTCACAGTGGCTAGTGACTGGTAAAAGATCTTAAGTGGTCACTTACCTAATCACAGTTTTTAATCAATTAAACAGAAGATATTCTGCTTCTTGGGAATGGAATATAAAAGCAATGGCAAGCATTTCATAAGAAGATATTTGTTTTGTGAAACAATTTGTATCATTGGAAAATATGCTTCAATAACAATTGCAGAACCATTTGTTAGATACAGGAGATATCCTGAACACTGCAAAATGCTCACACACTTTTCTTAATCCCATCAACAACCTACTGTACAGGTGCCATTAAATTCCTGCTTTATAGATATAGAACAGAATGCCAGACATATCACCACACTTTTGCTAAGACCAAGAAGGAGCAGGACCAGGATTAAACCCCCATCTCTCTGCTCTGTAGAGATCTCAAAATCATAGACCCCATGCTGACATGCTCACTGCTCTACAGAGAGCTTAAAATCATGGACCCCATTCTGACATGTTCAATTCCTAGTCAACTCAGTCATTACTCCTGACAGCATACATATTGAAATTGTCCTGGTGCAACAATGTTAGCAGTGGAGAAGCAAAAGCAACTGATATTGCTAATCAGTTTTGGTAACGTTGGTCATGGGATCTGCATTTAAAGATTCTGACTAGGTTTGACTCAGTTTGTCTTGAGTTGGACTCCAGATGTTAATTTTTAAGTATGTTTTTGGTGATTGTCTTTTGAGTTGAATAATTTTGTCACTTCCTGTAGCTGTGTTCAGTGGTGCAATAGAAGGAAAGAACAAAAAGAAATCATCTTTGGAGGGAAAGGCAACTAACTACTGACTTGCTGGGCCTAATTGATATTATTTTCTTTTGCAAACCACTAAAACTCTAGAAGAAAGAGGTTGATATGCTTTTCATAGCCCAATACCTAGTTAACTTCTGAGATGTCTGAATGACCCTCCTCAAATGAGCTATCATTGAGGGAAGGGAAGAAAGACATGCTGGCAATGCTCTAAAAAGTTTGCTTAGAGAGGGAACACATGCAAGAAGAGTAAATGAAAACCTTACAAGTTGTGATTCATTATTAATCCCACTCGTGTAATTCACAACAAATTGACTAATAGTCTGCCTTCCTGTCTCCCTCCCAACACTAAATTACTGCATGTAGTAGATTACAAACTTGACTAGGAGAAGCAGCGATAGTCCATTAATATTTATAAGTGTCATAATGCTCACATTTCCCATCTATTTGGCAAATCAACCCAAGTAATTAAGGAGAATTGGGGAATTATAAAGATGAAAATATCAGAAAAATTGCTCATGGAGTTATCAACACTGTTTTATTTCTACTTTTACATCTTAATGACTTAATTTTGCACAGATGGCACTTTTAAAATTTCTTAGTTAAAAAAACCAACACAATTTCATTATTATCCAAGAAACACAGTCATTTTTCAGAGAGGAAACTTACATCTTTGTCTTTTCCACGAAGTATCGAACGTGTTTACTTCCAATGATTTTCACTATGATCTCTGGCATTGGCTCTGATCTATGGGGAGTCTTGCAAGCTGATGACATGGTCCCTCTCCAAGTCTTTTCAGACCCTTAGGGGTGGAAAATAAATAGGTCCTTCCTCTTGATTTCTCACCAACAACATGAACAATAACATCAGAACCTACTGGCATTATTAATGTGAAGGTATTATATAGACTACTCCACTATAGCAACTAAGTTAAAGATACTTGAAAACATCAGGAGGAACAGAAAGAGCATTCCATTCCATTATTTTCCTTAAGAGTAGAAGATGAAATTCTTACACAAAGGATGTAGTATCCGTGTCTTTTGAGAAGTCAAGACTAAAACAGATCTGACAAGCCTTGTTGGAATAATAATAACTCTCTTCAAACCTCCCCAAATCATTCAGTTGCTCTATTGCAACTATTTCCTATCTATTTTTGGCATAAGCAATTTACTCCAAATACTTTTTTGGAGAAGTCTCAGTTCCTTATTGGAAGTGGGGTGGAAACTTCTGTGCTATGCAAAGCTTGTGTTACATAATGAATATGCTTCCTTCTCATTAATTCTCAGGATATTCAGGGTCTAGGAAGACTGGGTAAAAGCCTGTCACCCCTATACCTCATTTTAAATAAAAGAACCTTTTACATTTTTAAATTATATTCATCGTGCACACGATGTGTGTGTGTAGTGTGTGTGTAGTATTAATGAACTTGATGAAATCTGTTTTCTGCTTTTACCATGTGTTTCCCAAGAAGTGAACTCAGGTTAAAAGGCCAAACCATCTCCCCAGCCAGGGTGTGAGGTACTCATAATAACCGTGACAATCCTTGCTTTCCCATCGAGGGAAAGAGGTATGTGTAGCTAGAGCTGTCAATTCCAGAAGGACTGCAAAGCACACACACACACACACACTTAGTCCGTAGGCAACTACATCTTTCTAAACTAGAAGCCTTGGGGTGGCATTGTCCTGAGGCTTGAAAAGAAAGCTGGGCTTTAGTAGAACACTTGAATCAGCAACCAGCTCTGATCCTCCCTTTTGCCTTCTGCAATTCCTATTATCCTCAGAGACTTGGATATCCAGAAGACAAAGTCTTGTACTTTGAAAAAGTGATTCATTAACTCCTGTCTGTACCCACAGCTACCAGACTCTACAATTGAAAACCTGCTTGAGATACGCCCAGGGTGTTTAAGCAGGAGTGATGCTAGGTGAACCTAGCTGGCCACTTCTTTCCAGAGAATTCAAGAGGCCTCTAGAACTTCCTCTAATTTAAACATTGGCTTTATCGATTGGGAAATCGAGGCCCAAATGATATCTCACCAAGGTCTTCCAGATTGGAGGGGGAAGGAGAGGGTCTTTCCAGCGTTCTGTTTTGATAGCTACAACAAGGTCCTTCCCAAGATTCCAGTTCACTTAATGAGAACAGTATTTAAAGCACAGAAGAGACCCCTCCAGCCAACCACAGGCTCTTCAAAGCTGTGGGTGTGCAAAGCTATGGGGTTTGAAACTACCAGGTTTCCTATTTGCCCCGCAGTGGGTCATCAGCCTTGAGATCATCCCCAGGAGGGACTAGAGGGGTATGCAGTCTTACCGCCAAACTGGTGCTTCCTACCCAAGAAGTTCAGGGGTGCTAGTGCTTCTCTCTAAAAAGCAACCCAGAATGCCAGCAAGGAGTTCCAGAATCCAGCCAATTACAGGGCCCGGCTCACTGCAGGAGCTTTGCAGCCCAGTTGCTAAGGACACACAGAGGCTGTTGCTGGGAGGGAACCAGATTTCTCCTCACTACTGGTGGCAGCCAGTACTGGGGGTGGGGAAGGACCAGGTGTCCCAGGGTGTGGCTGCTGACAGGAGGGAGCTAATGTTTTGAAGTCTGTTTGGAAGGTTGCTGAGCAGTTTCAGGAGCCCGTCTTGCTCACCTCTGGACTGATGCTGCCCGGCCCTTCCACTTAGACTTCTGGTTTCTGAAACTTGCACAAAGTTGGAATCTTTAGACTAACTAACTGGCTTTGTATAAACTTCTTTGCTCCAGGATTGTTTCCTGCTGTACTGTGATGCAAACAAGGAACAAACAAGATGATTTGGTGACATTAAATAAGATTAGAACACTTGGAGATATTGTAAATCAATTGACAGAGTGCTTGCCTAGCTTTCATGAGGATCTGTGTTTAATCGCTAGAATGAAAACCTGGGTTAGATTCCCAACAATGTATAAACAAGGCTGGTGAAGCCAAGAACTCAGAGAATAGGAGGATCAGAAGTCCAAATTCATTCTTGGAGACCTGTTCCAGTTAAGTCTGGACTATGTGAGATCCTGTTACAAAATAAAGAAACAAAATTCTAATAATAACCTTGAATGCCATCTATATGCAAGATCCCTTATTTGAGCCATATAAATATTGCATTATTGACAACTGCCAACTAAACATTTTACTTTTATGTTTTTTTAAAAGGACAAGTAATTGAAGCTTGGGTATTGTGATATTACCAGGACTCCACAGAGTGAAGGAGCTCAGCTGTCACAGGGTCTCTCTGCTCACGCCTCAAACATCTTTCCAGGTATAGAAGCCCATGGTTTGCATAATTTGTCCTCAAGGAAGATCTCTTGACTACAGCTTAAACCCTGCACTTCGTGTTTGAGCAAACCTCTGAGGCAGTGGTTTGTAACTTTCCTAATGTTGTGACCCTTTAATACAGTTCTTCATATTATGGTGACCCCTCCACCATAAAATTATTTCATTGCTACATCATAACTATAATTTTGCTGCTGTTATGAGTCATAATGTAAATATTTGATATGCAGGATATCTTATATATGGCCCCTGTTAAATGATTGTTGACCTCTAAGGAGATCCCAACCCACAGATTGAGTACATCTGCTCCAGTGGCTAGCACATCCAGTGGAGTTGAATTTACTCAATATATCCCTCCTCCGGGATAACTTTTCCATTCAACCCAGATTTCTAGGTTCTATGTCTGTAACTGTGTTCAAAGTCTGTAAATGTGGGTAAGGACACTTTACATTGACTCCAAAATGATATCATTGTATCAGCTCCAGCATGCAAGGACCTGCCTTCAGTCCCTGGCTATGCTGTGTTTGCAGTTTTACTGAAGCCTCTGCTGTCAGTCCCAGGCAGAGAAGGATGGCCTTATGTCAGGACCTCACTCTCTGGTGGTCAGGAGACACAGGCAAATTGTGTTATGGGAAAAAATAGAAGGGCAACTCCCTCTCTTGTCTGCAACCCTGATTTCACATTTTAGACTGCCCAGACTTCCCAAGGCCCAGCTCTAAAAGGTCATCTCCTCTACCCATGTCTCAAAGATCTCATCAGCCCCAGAGGCTCATGGTCTGCATAGTCTGTCCTCACTCCAGGCTTAAACTCAGCAATTTCTGTTGGAACAAATCACTAGTGAATAGAAAATCTCCTGTAATTTGAGTCCCAATATAACCTTCTATCCTCCTGGATAAGAAATCTTTGTGGGACTGTGGCTTAACTTATTTCTTCAACAGTACATCTCCCTAAAACAGCTCAGATTATTGATCAATAGGCTTTAGAACCCATGGAGGTCTGGCCTGTGTTGGGAATACCAGACAGTGAGGATGGATGTTGAGATTTTTGGTGCATGTTTGTATTAACATATTCTGTCAGGAAAGCTGGTCATCAGAGGAAAGCCAAGCTGAAAATGAAACAAGTGGAAAGGAGAGGCCAGCACAGAACCTGGGTCCAGCTGGACCGGAAATGGGACTTAGGGATACCAGAAACAGGTGGGAACAATTTCCTTTTTGCTGAGGATATTTTGAGCTAGACCATTAACATTTATGCCTGAAATCACCATTGCTTCTCTTGAACTTTCAGATTCTCTTTAAAGTTCAGATGTGGGGCACAGTTCATCAATTGGATGGTGTGGTGATTTGAATAGGTATGGTCCCCATAGACGCATGTGTCTGAATGCTTGGCTTATGGAGAGTGGCACTATTAGGAGATGTGGCCTTGTTGGAGCAGGTGTGGTCCTGTTGGAGGAAGTGTGTCACTGTGGAGGTCTCATATGCTCAAGCTACACTCAATGTGGGACATAGTTCACTTCTTGTTGCCTGAAGATTAAGAAGTAGAACTCTCAGCTCCTTCTCCAGCATCAAATCTGCCTATATGCTGCTGTGCATCTTGCCATTGTGATAATGGACTAAACCTCTGAAGATGTAAGTCACCTCAATTAAATGTTTTCCTTTATAAGAGTTGCCATAGTTATGATGTCTCTTCACAGCAATAGAAACCCTAACTAAGGTGGCATTTTCAGTGTCACTGTAACTCTGGTGTGAAGCTTGAGGAGCAGTAAATTATGTCCTTTGATTTTCTAAGTTTTACAACTTTGACTAATGGCGTTCCCAAGATCCATTGGGCCCTTTAAAACACTTAGTTGTTGTCACATGAAATTTGACACATTTTTTCAGACCCAAGGGAAGTTCTGCTTTGCCACTTCCATATCCATGGACATGAACATTCCATTTAACTATTCATAAATTGGAGAACAAAGTGACTGTTTCAGGGTTGCACGCTAGTGTCTTGGAAATATCCCTAAACCAGTAATAGGCTTACAATAGACTACGCATTTATTTGTAATAATGCTAATAACACAGTGAATACTTATGTGCTAGAAACAGTGCTAAGAGTTTCACCACCAACACTTGTTGGTAATAGTCATAAGAACTTTATAAAGACTGTTAATTTTCTCATTTTAAAGAAGAGATAGCTGAGCTTAGCAAAGGCACCCAGCATGTGAGAGAGAAGCGGGAAAGTCAGAACTGTAAGGAAATTCTGGCTATTCCAGACTCCAGGAATCATTGGTTCTTCCCCACAGTTCCTCTCTGGAGTTAGTTGTTGCCATTACAATTGTTAGTGCTTGTATTCCTGTTGATGGCATTTGAGGCTGAGATCTCCTACAGCATTGCAGAATATACAGCGATTCTAAAGCAGGACTGGGGATTTTCGTCTCTCACTCTACTTTATGAAATGACATAACCAAGAAACACCTCTCCTGTGGTTTATATTAAACAAGGCAAAACAAGAGCCTCTGCAGTAAATGTCTCCATAAGATTAAATACTGTGGTTAAAACCACCTTCCTTGGATTCAGCAGCTTTAGATTATGAGTCACCAGAGAAAGATTCTGCAGAAATGTCTCTGTCCAATGTCAGCTCTCCCTTTTTCCTCCAAAGAAAGATGGATTGCTGTAATAATAGAACCAAAGAACCCCCTCCCCAAATGTCAGAACTTTCCATTTACCTCCAAACAGAGGTCCAGAGAGAAGAATGGGGTCCAGTGCTTCGCTGTGGTCCATGTAAGTCAAAGTAGAACGAGTATATAAACAGGAAGTAATAAAAACTGCTCTTTGAACAGCTTAATCATGGATCTATAAAAATGAGGCATTTTGTAGTGAAGTCCATGACCTACAGAGAAGACATCAATCCTGAGCTGTATTACAAAAAACAAAACAAAACAAAAACAGAAAGCAAAAAATAAAAAAGGTGGATTTTGCTGTTTCATTCTATTCTTCCCTCCTTCCTTCCTTCCTTTTCCCTTCCTGCTTCCCTCCCTCCCTTCTTCCTCATTCCCCCTCCCACCTTCCCTCTCTCTCTTTCTCTTTCCTTCAGGAGACTAACATGGACTTCAGGTACCAGACAAAGGAGCTCCAGGGGGCTTCTAGAGCAGAACAGAGAGTAGTTAACCCTTTCCCCTTTGCTTTGAAAGGAGGGTGTAGCATGAAGACTAGATGGACAGACTATAGATATGCAATACTAAAGCACCACGAAATGAGAAATTCAGTAAAAAGAAATGTGTCCTTTCTTATTCTGGAGGTCAGCAGTTTGGCAGACCTGGTTCCATCAGAGTGTAAAGTGCCTCTTTTCTAACCGCTGGCAGTTTGCTGGCCACTCAGACATTTATTTCTTGACTTGTAGATAAACTTGCTGTTCATGAAATACCTTTCCTTGTGTATGTATGAGTCCACATTTCTCATTTTTACAAGGATACAAGTGATAGTGGCTTAGGCTCTCATCTCTGTGTAACTTTATCTTTTTCTCTGTTACTATCCTATATCTACACAAAGTCACAGTGGGGGATACTGAAGGTTAGGTTAGTACTTCTATTGACAAATTCAAGGTCACAGAAATCAACCTTTAACAAGCCCAGGAGCCCAATTTGGACTTCACATGGTACTGGTACTACTTCACACAAACAACTTTGCTTTTCCATGATCTTGTTTCTTGTTGAATAATACTAATTGCATACATAAATATGAGAATAAAATGTTTTGAAAGATGCTTAGAAAGTATTTGGTACATGCACAAGGTTGCTGCCGTTACATTTGCCTCCTGAATGTTTTTTTTATTAAGGCCTTTTTGTTTGGCTCCTGAGCCTTCATGTCTAGTATTTCCCTTCCTAGTCAACTACTTACACATGCGGTCATATGGCACCAGGGATTCCAGCATGCCTTCACAGACTCTGTTTGCCTGAGAAACAGCACAACTTCCTCATTGCTCAGCTCCTGACTTAGAAGATTAATCCACAAATTTATTCAGTTGGTGAAGCTGTGCCACAATGTCTCTTATCAGTTGATCCACTCTTCATTAAGAGAGCACTTTAATGAAACTACTCTTTTTTGTTGGTTGTTTTAATTACGATTTACTCTTTTGGCTCTTTGTTGTTTGGG